TGATCACATCACTAATCTTTAAAACCAACAATGGAAGAACATCTCCCGTACTTGGTGTGACAACTGGGACAGAATTCATGCTGGAGGGTAAACAAGGAGAAAAGCTTCTTGGATTCTTTGGACGCTCTGGTGTTGCTCTTGATGCCATTGGAGCTTACTTCTAAACTGGTTCCGGTGATGGAGGTGGTAATGGAGGAGGTTTCATCCGATCTGAGTCCATTCGCCAATTCCAGAGACTGAATCTTTTTCTCGTTAATTCCATAAATAAGGTCAACCCAATGTCTGGTTTTACCATGTATGTGTCTGTTTTGTTGTTCGTGTGATGTTGTCTACCTTGATAAAGGATGTGTGTCAGTCAGCAGTTTAATAAAGGATTTGTGCTGTCCTCTGTAAACTTTTTAATAAATAATGTTTCTTTTCAAAACTTAAGAGAGAGAGAGAGAGAGAGAGAGAGAGAGAGAGAAAACCCTTGTGAAGGTAGCTCCGACGTCCGGCTGCGCATCCGAGCGCGTGCCGGCGTCGATGCATCCCTTCTTTGTTTTTCCAGTCTAGTCATCCTACTGTGTGCTTCGATCTGTGCTCTCTCTTCGATATACATGCGGATCTGGGCTAGGGTTTTGCTCCGGGAATAGCTCTGCTAGTGGACAGTTTCGAACGGCGGCAACTCTTCTTTCTCTGGTTTCGCGGTGAGGAAGTAGGACGGCGGTTAGTTGTGAAGTCAACTTTTGAGTTTAAGGTTTGTTCCGGGAGGCGGAGGCTCCGATAGTTCCGTCGTCGCCGTTTAAGCTTCCGGGGGGTGGAGGCTTCCTCAGCTCTGCGTCGCCGGCTTTGGCTCTGAGGGGTGAAGGCGTTTCTTGCCTTGTGTCAACGACTTTTGTTTTCTTAGATCTGTTTTAGGGTATGGTTTTAAATTATGTTCTTGCGGGAGATGTGTCTGGTGTAAGTTGGTGTTGTTATGTGCAACGTCTTTTTTATCTGGTTTGTGCTCGAACGGTGGCGGATGAGATCTCGCTCCGGCGATTGATCGGTCCGATAATGATAACACATGAGTGAAAGGTGGTTGCGGTGAAGATGGTGTGGAAGTCATGGGAATAGGATGAGATCTCGATGTGTTCGATGGATGCTCTCCGTTGCAAGGTTCCCGGCGGTTAAGGTCTGAGTGGTTTCTCTGGTGGGATTACGGCGCCGCAGTCTTCGGCGGGTCCGCTAGGGTTTCATGTATGCTAGGGTTTTCGGGTTGTGGGCTTTAGACCCAGTAAGTTTGGTTTTTAGCTGGCCCGTATGTTTGAGTTTCCTGTTTGTTGTTGTACTGGTTTGGGCTTGGCCCTCTTATATTAAAAAAACTTACTTGACGGGAAAAAAAAAAGAATGTTTCTTTTCAATTTCTATTTCTATTTAGATTTTGCTTACTTTTTATGTGTCTTTAGGAGCCTAGGGCGTAATTTTATATAATATTAAACTTCTAATAACTATTATATAAAATTATACAGTAAAAATATTAAGAAGCTATAAAAGTCTGAATACAAAACATAACAATGCCTAGTAGACTTTTTCAAAAATTAAATATATTTTTAGTACTTGTTGGGTTAAGAAATATATTTATTTAAAAATAAAAAAATAACTTGATTAGTTTATATTTAATATTAGTTTTAATCTGTTTTGATTGTGTAAATTTATATTATTTTTCATATAACAAAATAACTAAATTTATAAAATATCCAGAAACAATAATATAAATAATAAGTTGAATACATCTACTCTATTAATATAGAGACATTTTTTTATCTATTGATAAAAGTTGTCATTTAAATTTGGACCCTTTTCAGAGTGTTACAAATAATATAAGTCTTATAATTGATTGAACCGCATTACTTAAATTAAACCAACACAATTAATGTAACATGGCGACCTTAATGTAAAGTATCTTCAAAATACGGCAGATATCTATATGTATATCAAAAACACATATTTTCTCCTACAAATATGGAATGTTCTAAAAGAATATATATTATCAAAATATGGAATATGGAAATCTACTAATTATATTAATGTGGAAATCGTAATATACCATTTAGCATCTTAACAATTCCTTAAAAAAATGGAAATTTAATAATTATAGGAAACCAATGGAAATCTACTCTATTAAAATAGAGTCTTTTTTTTTATATACTAATACAAATTATCATTTAAATTTGGACTCTTTCTAGAGTGTTACAACAAGCCATATAGTTAATTGAACCGTATTACTTAAATTAAACCGATGGTTATTTATGGGATATAGTCTTGGGCTTACTTGTGTTTTTAGGACAAATTATATGGTTTGATTTTTAGGCTTACTATTAAGGAAAAACTCCAAAAAAAATTGAATAAAATTTTTATCGTAATGGATCAAAAAATCAATTATTATTTTCAGGCCCAAATATATTTAATATTTTTAACAAAACAAAATTGTCTATTATTAATCATTTATTTAAATCATGTACTTTAAAACATGTTATTGTATTTGTTATTTAAAATAATAATCACTTTTTTGATAATTTTCAATGGTAACTTTTAAATAATGTATTGTTTTATTTTTCTTAAATAATTTACTGATTTTAAAAAATAAATGTAAAGCAAAACCAAAAACCAATTCTAAAAACTAAAACCCAAACCAAAAGCTGAAAACGCATTGTTTTGGATAACATATTGTTATAGTTTTTGCTTTTGTTTATTTACAAAATAAACTATTGCAATTTTTTTAAAAATTGTTTTTTGTCATCTTTTCAGTTTTAAATTAGATGTTCGATTATTTGAGATTTGTTTGTTGGTAGTATCAGTTCAAACTAACTCAGCAGATCTAAAAATTAAAAACCCAAACAAAAGCTGAAAATCAAAATTAGAAACTTAAAAACTTAAAACCAAAATCTAAAAATAAAAACTGAAACTAAAAACTAATGAGAAAAATCGTCACCACAATTTTTGGTAAACTGATTTTATACTAAAACATTCTTTAAATTAAGACATAACCCAATTATATAAATTTTAGTTATAAAAAGTTTCTGCTCTTTCAAGCGCGGGTCAAAATCTAGTTGTTAAGTTAAAAATAAGTAAAAATAAAAAGAACGTGCCATAGAAAAGTCTAACATGTTTGAATGTATTGAAATAATTTATTGATGTAAGCCCAAATTATTAAAAAGAAAGTTTTAAATATGATAGACAAGTAATTTTTCTGTCTTTTTCGATTATCTTGGTAACTCCCAAGAATCAAACTTAGAAATATCAACAACGGGAATGGCTTCAATTTCATGTACACCTTCAACTTTTCTTTTCAGGAAATATTCTATGAGTTCATCTCAATGGGATGAAACAGGAATCCTGGAGGTAAACATTAACTTCCCATTAGTTTGTAATGATCACGAAATGACTTGGAACACAAGAATCGTGTGATTCTTGACTCACGTGAGTACTTAGAATTCAAAAGAGAAATTCAGAAATATAATATTTTTTCGACGCTCGTTTTGTTGTTAAGAACTTAAGAAAAGATTGTAACTCAAGCCTTTAAGACATGTTGAGTCAAGTCGACTGCGTTCTTTGTGGGACAAGAACATTGAAAAGGTAAAATTTCTATAACAAAAAAAAATTAACCAACAATTCCCCAAAAGTCTTGAAATTTAAGAGAGTAGTTTCGAAAGAAAGAAATAATGGTTTGAAAGCCTCAAAAGTTACTACCGAATGATTAGGAGAGTAATTGATACTAGAAGTTGGTAAAGTGTTGAATGGTTGTGGAATTATTATAAATCAACAAATAATGAAATCCTCTTCTTAGAAACCCCATACTTATGCATATTCAAAGAGCAAATGCATGAATAAAAAGAAAACATAATGAGATTGTATAGAATAAGAAAAAGGGTTCATAATGATTCTCCAAATCAAGTACAAAAAAATACCTTCTCCCTATGGTTACAAAAGCTCAAGTCGATGATTAAGAACTAAGAAAACAAAAGAAAAGAAAAGTAAAAATAAAAAGAGCAACAAAACATTAGTCTGATTGGTTTAATATGAATTTGCGTCGAAACATGTCTTTTTATTTGGGTTCAGGTCGATTTAGGTTAAGTGACTTCACAATGAACATGTAACGGGATCAAGCAATCCACAAAACATGGATGGATCGATATAATGTTGTCCTGAATAGACTGATCTACAGCCTTCGAAAATTTTCCTTCTTCGCGTGGGATCGATTGATTTCTTCTTCAATTTTATTCCAAAATTCTTTTAAGCTCCAAATCTCATCTAACCACGTTCTTTCCTGACAACCAAACGTGTGGTCAGTAAAAGCATTAAACAACACAACATATTATCCCAAAAAACATAGCAAAACCAATAATTCTCGAAGTAAAAGCCAATAAAAATACAACACATGTTTGACCCCATGAACGTCATTCCAGCCCGTTAAGATTTCAAGTCCACCCTTAGTGATAAAAAACCCTCCAACCAAAAAAATAGATTTTTACAGCTTGTAAAGAACTTCTACATCATTTTCACTAGATAATTGGTGATGATTGTTCCGACTTTGACTATAAAAATTTAGATATTAGAGTTTAGTTGTAAGTAGGTTAGTTGTCTATAAAATTGTTACTATAGAATTTTTCTACATAAACTTTTACTGTTAAGCTGTAGATCTTTTAAAATAAAATATATAAAATATGTGATGTATATATAAAATTTTTATTTTATAATTTAAAATAATTTATATTAATATTTGTTTATAAATTATCAAAATTTACGGTTATTTTGAATGTGATATATAAATAATATTAATTTTATTTAAAATATTTAAAATATTTCAATAATTTAGAAACACCCAAAATTAAATTAAAATATTTATAGATGTTTTTATATGATTATCTAATTTATCTGATGTTATATATAGTTTTTTCTCATTGTACAGATTCTACATCCTATAAAAGAAAGATGTAGGTCTTTTGCCTAAAATATATAAAAAAAGATGTGCTTTATATTTGTTGTTGTTGTAACTTTAAAAATAAAGCTAAAATATGATTGGTAAAAAAATAATAAAAATTTGATGTATGCTTTAAAATTTAAAAATAAAATTACATAAATTATAATTATTTAAAATAATAGCATAGTCTTACTTATGTAATCAATATATCTAGTTTTCTATGTAGCTATATGGTACTCTTCAATTCTTCTTAGTTTCTTATAAAATCTCTATAACTAATGATTTTATTTTATTTTTGTTTGGTAAACTGAAATCCAGTTTTCGGTGGATTATCCGAATGAATACATTGTTTCCGTAGGTGGGAGCTATGATCATGTTCAGTCCTATGAAAGTGTACTGATCAAATCATTAATCTTTAAAACCAACACTGGGAAAGCATCTCCGGTACTTGGTGGGACAACAAGTTGTGGAAAACCAGCTGGGACAGAGTTCATGCTGGAGGGTAAAAATGGAGGAAAGCTTCTTGGATTCTTTGTCGCTCTGGTCAAGCTCTTGATGCCATTGGAGCTTACTTCGACACCTGTTCACTAGGAGGTGTGGCACCACTCGGTGGCAAAAATGGAGCAGCCTTCGACGATGGTGTTTTCGAGGGTGTGAAAAAATAACTGTGGGAAAAGAGGGAAGTTGAAAGCCGTGAACATGGGACGATTCGTGGAGAACTACAAGAGGTAACACTAATCTCATGAACTTGGTTAGTCTTCTTCAACTAGTTCTTTATCAAACTTAAAACTAATGATTTTTTTTTATTTTGGAAAATGAAATCCAGTTTTCGGTGGATTATCCGAATGAATATATCACATCTGTTGGTGGAAGCTATGATCATGTTGAATACTATGACACTGTGCTGATCAAAACACTATTCTTTAAAACGAACACTGGGAAAACATCTCCGATACTTGGTGGGACAAAGGCTGGGACAGAATTCATGCTGGAGAATAAATATGGTGAAAGCTTCTTAGATTCTTTGGACGCTCTGGTCAAGCTCTTGATGCCATTGGAGCTAATTTCGGTTCACCAGAAGGTGTGGGACCGTGCGGTGGTATACATGGAGATGCATTTGATGATGGCATTTTCATTGGTGTGAAGAAAATAACTGTCGCAATAGAGGGATCTCCTTATAACTGTATATCATATATAAAGATCGAATACGAAAAAGACAGGAAAGTGGAGACCCGTGAACACGGGACAATTTGCGGAGAACTAAAAGAGGTAATAAAAAGATTGTGACATTGTTGTTATTGTTCAACATATTCTTGTTTTTTTTGAAAGAATGTTACTTATTCAACTAAAAAAAACATTTTTACATCATGTGTGAGTTTTTGAATATAAAATGAAATTAACATATTCTTGTTAATGAACCCTTAAATGTTATTGATCTATTTGTTTCTATTGAAATCCAGTTTTCGGTGGATTATCCAAATGAATATATCAAATCCAGCTATGGTCATGTTCGATACTATGAAACAGTGCTGATCAAATCGCTAATATTTAAAACCAACACTGGAAGAACATCTCCGGTACTTGGTGACGCAACAGCTTCTGGAAAACCAGCTGGGACAGAGTTTTTGCTAGAGGGTAAACGTGGAGAGAAGCTTCTTGGATTCTTTGGACGCTCTGGTCAAGCTCTTGATGCCATTGGAGCTTACTTCGGACCGCTTGGTGGCATCAAGGGAACACCATTTGACGATGGTGTTTTTGATGGTGTGAAGAGTATAACTGTCGGAGCTGATGAATTCAGTATAATTTATATCAAGATCGAGTACGAAAAGTGCGGAAAAGTTGAAATCCGTGAACATGGGACAAACCGCGGGGAACTAGGAACGGTAAAAATATATCTTTTAATTGTTTATAATCTTGTAGTTCACTATTAATTCGTTGTTTCTAATGAAAAACGAAATACAGTTTTCGGTGGATTATCCGAAAGACAATATCACGGCCATTGGTGGAAGCTACAATCATATTTTCAACTATGATACAACGCTTATCACATCGCTGTACTTCACAACTTCCAAAGGATATACCTCTCCCTTGTTTGGTAAGACGAAGGGAGCAGACTTCGAGCTCAAAGGTGAAAATGGAGAAAAGCTTCTTGGAATTTATGGACGTGGTGGTACTGCTATTGATGCCATTGGAGCTTACTTCTAGACTGATTCTGGTAATAGAAGAGCTTAAGGCAGTTTCATCTGATCAGAGCCCATTCGCCAATTCCAGAGTTACTCTTTATAATCTTTCTCTCGTTAATACAATAAATAAGGTCACCCGAAGTCTGGTTTTACCATGTATGTGTATGTTGTATTGTAAGTGAGATGTGTGTCAACAGTTTAATAAAGGATGTGTGTTGTCCATTGTAAACTTTTTAATAAAGAATGTTTCTTTTAAATTTCTATTTAGATTTTGATTAATTTTTGTGTTTATTCACCTTGCACTAAAAAAAATGAAAAAATTGCATAAAAAACCTTGAAAGTAACACGTACCGACAATTTAAACTTTGAAAGTGGCATGTATTGACAATTTAAACCTTGAAGTTATGGATTAATACTTTAAATTTTCAAAATGACATGTATCACAAAAAATATTCAACTTGATTTACTTGTTCATCAAGTATAAAATTGACTTTTACAACATGTAAATGAGATGAAGTGTCATTTTTTTCTGAAAATAATAATTATTTATTTATTAAAATAAAGAAAATTATAGAAAAATCCAAAAATTAAATATAAAATAAGGAAAATAAAATAAAATCATAAATTAAATAAAATCCAGAAAAACAGAAAAGTAAATAAAATTTCAAAAATAAATTAGATTAAATTAAAATACAAAAACTTAAATAAAATTTCAAAAATATTATATAAATTATAGAAAATGACAAAAAATCAGAAAATTAAACAAAAATTAAGAAAAAATCACAAAATTTATAGAAAAAATCATAATTGTCTCTTTAAATTACATGATTTTTTTTTTAAAAAAGCAAACATATCATTATTGGCAATAAAAATTTCAAACATATCACTGAAAACGATGGTGAGTTCTTACATAACCATTAACAATGACGTTTTTGACATATATCTAACGATAGTATCATCGTTGACATATCTCTAAAGATAGTTTTCTACATCAACGTTGAAAACCTTGACAGTATCTACCATTTAAAAAACCTTGAAATACTGTTTTAAATGATAGTTGTCAAAATATCGTTATTGACATATTTTCCATCATATTGTCAATGATGTCGAAAACTATCGTTAGAGATATGACAAAAATGTTATCATTAATGGTTATGTGAGAAACCACCATCGCAAACAGTGATATGTTTAAAATTATTATTGTCAACGATAATAAGTCTATTTTAAAAATATTTTATAACTTAAAAGATATTTTGAATTGTTTATTTTTTGAATTTTGTGATTTTTTCTTTGATTTTTGTTTAATTTTCTGAATTTTAATTTTAATATTTAGATTTTAATTTACTTTTCTTTATTTTTGAATTTTTATTTAATTTTCTGTAGTTTAATTTAATATAATTTAGTTTTGAAATTTTATTTTATTTTCTGAATTTATGATTTATTTTCTGGATTTTAGTTTAAATTTCTGAACTTTATTTTAGTTTTCTGATTTTATATTTAATTTTTGATTTTTATTTATTTTCTTAATTAAATAATTATTATTTTTGAAAAAAAATGACACATTATCTCATTTACTTGTTATACATGTCAGTTTTTTACTTGATTGACAAAGAAGTCAAATTGAAAGTTTTTTGTGATAAAAATGTCACTTTGCAAATTTAAAGTGATAGTACAGAAACTTCAAAGTTTAAACTTTTAGTACGTGCCACATTCAAATATTTTTATGCAATTTTCTCCTTTAAAAAATTGACATAGCCATAACGTTGTCAAGAAAATATCGTGGCTAAATAAAAAAACATTACACTACTCTTTAAAAATAAGCACGATAATAAAATATTTGTGGCTAAAACATGGGTAAAATAACCACTATTGGCCACGAAATATAAGAAAATATCAGTTATCAATTTTACTAAAAGACATATTCAACATGTAGGACATTTATAGAAAATAAATTGACCAAGATAACCCCTAACTAAGTGAATAAAATAATATCTCTTCGTCAGTCTAAAGAGACCATCTCCATATTTATTCTCTTTGTTTTTCTTTCTTTAAATCAAAATCTTATCCTTCTCTCTCTCGACATCTCTCTGGTAATGAACCTCAATAACAAAATCGAACCCTAATAATGATGATACAAAAATCTATCTCTGATACTGATCCCTAATCTTCCAGAAATCAAACCCTGATTATAAAATTGAACTCTGAAACCGAACCCTAATCTTCTCCACCTCTATTCTTGAGCACAAATCTCTCGGGGTTCTACACCGCCCCAAGTTCTTTTACGCTTCCCTTGTTTCACAGATCTCCTACATAAAAGGTGAGATTTCAACTCCTAAAGAAATTACTTGAGTCTAGTTGGTCTTTTCTGTGCCTGCTTCCACCTCTGTGTCCACTTCAGCCTCTTTGGTTCACAGACAATCTGACATGAAAGATTAGATTATGATTTCAAAAACAACTACTTAAATCTAGTATGTTTTCTCTTTCTAAATCCAAAATTCTTTGCATGTTATTTAAAATTTTTCAGAGAACGGAAAAAAAAATCCTAGTTTTCATCTGTCATGTACTCCGGATTTGTGGTCGGCAGAGTTGTGGTTAAGATAATTGTGGTCCAAAAAATTGTTGTCAGGAGAGTTGTGGTCATGAGCGTTGTGGACACAGGAATCTTTTGTTAGGCGAGTTGTGATTTTGACAAATTTCTTCCACTCAACATCTTCTTGATCTAGGAACTGGTCCTTAATCCTTTTCGATTTCTTCTCCCTTTTGATTTTATTCTCTTCTCTCTTTCGGTCCAACATTTCTCTGTCCGCTTCCACCTTTGTGTCCATTTCTGCCGCTTTGGTTCACAGACAATCCGACATGGAAGGTTAGATTATGATTTCAAAAGCAACTACTTAAGTCTAGTATGTCTTCTCATTCTAAAATCCAAAATTCTTTGTATGTTTTTAAATTTTTTGCAGAGAATGGAGACAAATCCTAGCTTTCATTGGTCATGTACTCAGGAGTTGTGGTCGGTAGAGTTGTGGTCAGGATAATTGTGCTTCAAAAAATTGTTGTCATGAGAGTTGTGGTCAGGAGCGTTGTGGACATAGGAATCTTTTGTTAGGCGAGTTGTGATTTTGAGTTTTGTGGACAGGTTATGCAGTTCTTAAGAAATTACTGATTTATTTTAAATAACTATAGTTTTGTATGTCTAAGTGGATGGTAAAATGGAATTTTTAATGTCAAAGATTCCAAGTTTTAGCTTTCTTCTCTTTGTTACACTATGAACAATGCATCTCTTGCTGGGATCAAATCACCTTAATGTCAAAGATTCTCTTTGTATACTCATCCACGATAGTCCATTTATAAGACATTGTCCCCAATACACCATTCACAAGAAACATGTTTAAGATATATTCATCCACATACCATTTTCCAGGAGAAACTCAGTTATTATATATTCAACCACATATCCCATTTATTATTGAAGATAAAAAGTTCTCTCTCCCTTCTTAATTACACCATCTACTAAAAGTCCTCGTAGAATGATAGCAGCTTCACAGTCGTTAGATGTTTTGTTTTAAATCAGATCCAACGTTCAAAAACTATTCCCTCTCTCTATATACTTACCTATTTTGTTTATTCTTTTTCACTTATTGCAACTCAACTCAATTCTAATCTTTTTTAGTTGCAACTCACGTACTTCAAGTTGTCTCTTTAACTGCAACAAATTCTCTTTATAGAGAACCAAAGTTAATTGTATCCGAAAATAAACAGTTGTCTTCATATTGTGTGTCAAATTGAAAAAATGTCTCTTAGTAATTAACAAAGTCACATTGTGTCCCTTTATGTAAGCGTCTTGAAATATAATGTAGCTAAATTTGCTACAGTTAGCCACAAAATAACAGTGACTAAACACTTAATCATGACTTTGCCACATTTACTTCCCTGGCTACAGTAAAATAGCCACGAAAACATAAAAACCATGACTAAAACGTGGCTAAAATAACCACGACCTGGCCACAAAATAACAGTGGCTAAACATCTAGCCCCAATTTTGCCATACTATTTCTATGACTATTAGTTTTTTTCTGAATTTTTTACATTCACAGCCATTTTCCCACTTTCTAATTACATGTGGAGGCACTTTCCACATGAGACACACTTTTGTAGTGTTGTTTGACTTCTATACCCTCTAACACAATTCTCAAAGATTTATTCTCTCTCTCTCTCTCTCTCTCTCTCTCTCTCGTGACTATCTCTTAACTTTACCCATTTTTCTCAGATATCTTCTATCTCTCACTTTCCCAATTCACACTTTATGAACCTTAATTCACCTTAAATCTGATATGTTCCTGAAAGATTCATGTTCTTAATATATATTCAAAAAAATATTGAAACCTAATATACACTCCCCTTTGTCGTCCTCTTCCATATACCTCTTTTTCCTGCCATGAAAAAATTCTTTGATTGTAACAAATCAATTCTGATGATGGAGCTCCACCGCAGTGCCACCGTCTTAGATCACAACGGAGCTCCACCGCAGTGACGTCATCTTCTACCCGGAAACCATCCACCATATCCACCGCAGCGTTGAAAGCTCACTTCAAACCATCTACTACCAACGTCAATGGGAACAGACGGGTCAGAGCAGGTTTCTTCCCGGAGCTCAGGCGTAGCAAATCGTTTTCAGCAAAGAACAACGAGGGAATGTCCGGTGGGTTTGAGCCACAGCGTCGGTCTTGTGACGTCAGGCTTCGTGACGAAAATAGAAGCATCTCCACCACTAAAGAAGCTGGTACCTTCTTCAAAACCCATATGTTATGGATTTCAGAATCCAGATCAGCAAAGTTTGGATTTCAAAACCCAGATGTGCAAAGATGTGGATGGATAAGTGTGGATGGGTGGTGTGGATAGCTATGTGTGGATAGCTGGTGCGTGGATGGGTATGTGTTGATGATTGAAG